TTGGCTTATCTATGGGAGAGCGGACGGGATCCCGAGTTTTCCAATGGGTATGGTCGTATGTGTTGGGAGATGCGGAAAGAAATGATTATGAAGGGCAAGGTGACAGTCCTGCGAGCGTCCTTTCTTGGGAACCAAAGCCAGCACATCATCGTTCGTCACCTTGACGGATGGAAGAACACACACCTAACAAAAGAACTTTCTCTCAGATATGCGGAGACGGATCAACTTACAGCGGCAAGCCTTGAAATCGAAGAGCCAGGCAGATGTAGATGTATTGCCGAAGGCCTGCCCGTCGTCAGAGCATGGGAGGGGAAGTTAGGTGCAGCCGCAAATGATGAACAGGTTCAGACAAACGATAGGCTAGCACTGTATACATACGCTTATGAGCAGAGTATTGCGAGGGCCAGGGGCACTGTAAAAATTTAGGAAAACACCCACAGCTTGCTATCTTTCCGGCAGGCGTTCCAATTCCAGTGTATGATGCCAGCCACAAGAGACATTTTCGTCTATATCTAGTAACACAGAGTCAATGTCGTCAGCGCGCGAAGAAATCAGGTGGAGAAGGAGGCTGGCCTTCTTCGCCAGGGACACAGTGAGGTACTGCTCGTTCCTTTCGGCACGTCATCTGGGATGCAGGCATTTGTACCATGGATGCCGATGACAAGTCGCCCAACGAACCTGACACAAACACCGAACAAACTGCATCCGATTTCGAGCAGAACGTAATCATTTTAGAGTTGGAAGTTTTGTTGGATGAACGAATGCGACCTCACAGACAATGAGATGTGGTGTGGAATGAGGATGCGTCCCGTGACAATGCTGGTGGACACTGCGAATGGGCGGCAACTGCCAATTTTTAGCCCCAGAGTCGGCAGCAGGTCATTGAAAGAATAGAGGAGGTCTGATGCTTCAGTGCGCAACCTCCAGCGCAGTGGGCTCCCGTCGACCGGCGTCCTGGTGAAAGAGGGGACGTTGATTTAAACATTTTAGCACTTCGCTCGAGGCAGAACTTCTGCCCGAGCTGGCTCAACATGGCTTCATTGACGGCAGTCCGAGAAACAAGCCCATGCGGCCCGACATTTGGATTAGTGAGTCATGACTCAGATCATCACCACGCTTTGAGGAGCCATTCAATGGTTACACTGGGTGTCGCTTCTTTGGCCATGATGCGTCGTCACGTTGTTGAATTTCCATGTTTGCAGCCAAAGCCGAAAGAAGTGCTATTTGCACTTTTGAAGAATATGATTTGTGTGGGACGGACAGCAAGGATTTCGTACGTAATAATAAAACTTCCCATGAAGCGACTGCCGTTTTAACTTTCTAGCCTGGATCGTGCCGATCTTCTCGTGCTTCCCATCATCCTGTCCACCGAGCCGGCGCCTGGCCGCTGTTCCCCTCCACTTGAAGACCAACATGTTCATGATGTAGGTGGGGAATGATTGTGCCGACCAGCGAGCCAGAAGACGCATTTAGGATCAGCGAATGGTGTTGTCGAATTTGAATCGCGCAGGAGTCTTATCAGGGTCGAAGGCCTTTTCATCGCGCCGGCCTGCCTGCTGGGCCGTCTGGTCAGGCGGGGCGTTGGGAACCGATTTCTGCTCCGTCTTGGACTGCGCGTCCTTGGCTGTAGATGCCCAGGCATCGAAACTAGACATGAAACGCCATGTCAGTAGATTGGAATTTATGGGTACGCATCTCAGGCTGCGTACCGGCGTGGTTTCTGCGCTTTGGGAGTCGCCAGTATGTCGCGGATTGCCTTTGCGTACGCGGAATCAGCCGGCGGGCGCTCGTCCGGGTTGGTCATCTTGCCGCGGTCGGACGCGGAAGCTTGGCGAGACATTGTTGATGGTCGTCTGCGTATTATATTGCGTGAGTGTGAAGCTGCTGTGCAGTTTCGCCCGTGATGCTGTCGGGGGCGATTCCAGCCCGATGCAGGTTGTGCAGGAAAAGATCAGAGGGGCAGATGAATGCGAGAAGCCTCATTGAAAAGACGGCGGCCAGAAAGGTGGAAGGCACGACCCGGGGACGAAATTCCCTTAATGATTTTAATACCGGCAGGTTCTACCCAAACATCCTGCTCATCGCGCCTGCTGCAAACACATGCCCGATCCCTTGCCCCGCTCCTTTGCCAGCTTGGGGGAGGGGGGCAATGGGTTTCCTGGCTTTAGCATCACACACTCGGCAGCGCCAAACGCCCCGGGCGACCTGCAGGCCAACAGGGGAGAGCTTCTCGCTGCAAATTCATCTTGGACCGCCTTGGGATAAGATTTGACATTCATCATCTTCTTCTTGATGTTCAACCATGCCCGTCTTAGCATCAACGGTCGTGCTTTCTTGCTCATCCGTCTACCCTTTGCCTCCTCTGGGCGCAAAATGACCTCCCCTCTGCCCTCAGGTTCGATGCACTGTCGGGAATACTTGAAGCTCAGAAGAGTTTGAACTTTTGTATTCCCGATCAACCTCCCATGCTCTCGTACCACGTGTCTTACATTTTTGTCGCGCACACGCCATGTTGCTTCAACTTCAACATCACCCACATCAATCTGTCATTGCCGCCCCCAGATCGGCCGCAAGTCAGGTCAGGCTCCTTCCACTGCTGACCTGGCGTCGTCTTCCCGTTTGATATCCATGTCGTGGTGAGCATATTGCCGAAGGACATCATCCCGATGGACGTTTTCTTACCCCCCTAACCACAGGTTTGTAGCTGGGTTCATGAAGAGGATCCGTTACCTTCACCTTTCACGAGTTTTACGCAGAATTCGACGGTCGTGTCCACCGGCCACCGTCCCGTCTAAGGGACCTGTTCAGGGTTGGCTGTCTCACGGGAGTACCCGGTCTTTATTATCAGTCTGTTCGCACTTCTATGAGTTGTCTTGGAATCGAAGGTGGAAGGAGCGAATCCATTTGAGTTGCATCTTCAGTCGTTCGTCTGGGAGTTTGACATTGATTTCTGGTGTCAAACCAAAGCGTCGATAATTCTAATGAGAAAGCCCCCCCGCCTGCTAGAAGCTCCTACTCCTGCCTGCAGCTCCCCTTCCTCAAAAGCTGCCACTCCTTTCAAATTTGGAAAGCTCCTGCTCCAAAACCTCCCATCGAAGTGGTAGCTTTCCTCGGCTTTCTCCAAGCTACCACTTCAGAGACTCCACACGGAAAGCTCCAGCTACAGAAAGATCCCACCCCTTCCAAAAGCGCCTCCCAATATGGCAGCTTTCCTAAGCGCGCCTCCCAAAGTTCCCATTGTGAGAAAGTTCTAACCGAAAGATGGTAGACTACAAATGCCCCCAGAAGTCGTCGGGTTCGCCACCCTCCGCAAAATGCAGTATCAAGACTTGCTAGAATCGTGACCAACGGGGTGGTCCGTAAGAAGATGGAGTTCTGCTGAGACGCACCGCGGTTTCGAGGGCATCCGAAGCTTCCGTCGCGCAAGTCCCATCTTCCGTGGGCCGCACTCCTTTCCCCAAGAGCAGTATGTGTCCGAAGCGGTATCTCCGTGATTTCGAGGTCAACACGTCTCCTTCATACAGCAGAGCGCGAGGTGGTTGCCCAGGTCGACCTGCGGATAGTTCTGCCCTTGATTCTGAAGTCTGCAACGAATGCTGTCCACGTTTTACTCATCGAAAGGACCTTTCTGTATCGGCAGCAGTTTGAATCGGCAGGACCTTTCTGCAGGGCATCGGCAGGGCCTTTCTACATCTGCAGGACCTGTCTGCGGAAGTTCTCAGCGTAGTGACCTGCTGCCGATTTCAGCGCTATGCGGCAGTCGGTATTTGAGGACTCGCCCGTCACAGCGCCGCGCTGCCCCAGCTAGCGAATACTGAGCTGCGACCCCTGAAACATCCCATCCCGTACATACGGCTTGCCGTCGAGGCATGTCCCCAGACCACACACAGTTGGCAGAAGTTTACGGCGCGACTAGGGTGCATGCCGCGTGCGAATCCGCCAGAGACCGACTGGCGATGTGTTCTTGGGAGTGCTTGGAATCACTGATGTCACCCAAGACGAGGGTGACCGACTGCCAATTTCACGGTAGTGGAGTGACGCGCCATGGGCTTGGCTCCAGCGAGGTACGTAGCCAAGGCGACGAGGGACGACCCCCAAAAGTTCAACGGTGACGGTCGCAGTCACACGCTAAAATCGACATGCCAACACCACGGCGAAACGAAAAGACACAACAGTTGCATCGTGTTCCGAAAGGCTTGCCCTTGACTCTTATATTCGTCAATCTGACCTCTGAGATAGACGGCAACGCTTGTCTGTGGCCAACCTGATCCGCAATGCTCGGATGTGGGGCGGAAACTATGGTGGAATCGATGACAGTGTCAACGGCGGAATCGGAAGCATTGTTGGAAACGCCCCGGAACAAGAAAAAAGTGCCCCTGGAAGACTCGGCGGGACGGCTGTGAGGTTGGTAGAGAATGATATAGCACTCAGTCCCTGCCTGTCATCTTGCACACCTAGTGGTGCTGGCTGTACCCCGCCATGGAGACGGTCGCGACGCGGGTCACAGTAGGTTCAGGCCCCCCACTTCAGAACCTGGGGTACCACGCCCCGTCGTGATGTTGGGTCGCTTGGAATTATGTGGTCAATTGCAATACCGCTATGTTTTTGGCATTAGCCTCAATTGTCTTGTTCGTAGTGCAGTCAAAGTGTGCGAGCACAGAAAAGTACCGCTTCTCCCCCGTGAAGACGCAGCATTGTTATTGCCGACTTCACAGCCGACCGGGATTTTATCTGCCTTGAGCCGGCCTCATGACACTGTTGCTTTTGCCTTTGGGCTTCTGCAGAAGTCGGCATTGCTCCCGACGACTAATACCTATTAGATGCATGTGCATATAATCGGCATGTCCATCCTTTGGCTGGAAGGCATACTGAATCGAAGAATGAGGCACTTCCGAGGGTGTGGGCTGCACCCTCGCTAACAGGCATTTCGGGGGTCGGGCCGCCCCGCAGCCAGGGTCTGTACCTAAGTGCTGCCTGGAATGCAACATCACTCGAGTGCCTCATCGACATCCCGAATCATGCCACCTCTTGTCCGCCTATGTGCCTACGTGCCCGGCGCATCTCAAGTAAGTGGTCTGTCCCAGGCCGTCGTCTGGTCCGAAGTTCCTGCCTCAAATGTATGACCGTGCCACTGAGAGCCAGGGCGGGTCCTGAACAAGTGGAACGGCAGCGTACCTGGGTACCTTGCAGGAGTCTGCGAGCAAGAGATGGAAGGCGCCGTCGTGTCGTGCCTTCCTCGCATCGCACTGAAAATCAGGGACATTGAGTTGAGTGAAGTGGGCAAGAACGGCCAAGCCGGCTCATTCTTGCCGAGAACATCACCGGCGGCACCTACACCTCAATCCCCATCTTCGCTCAATCATCACCCTGCCAGCCCGCTGCTCCTTCTGACTCGCCTGTCCAATCTCAAATCACTCCGTTGGTGTGTTAGGCAACCTGCGATTGCCATTCGTCTGCTTCGCGGATTGATTCAGTCCGTCCCAATGGCAAACATCATGAGCCGCTGCGCCATCTCCTGGAATGCCGCTCCACATGGCCACAGCCCGTAGGTCGGGCGACCCTGTCAACGTGCATACGGCGCACCAATTCTCCTCCACGAGCAGCGCGTCGCTGAGGCGCGTGTCGTCTATCTTCTCCAACTTGCGGCCTCTTTTCCGTCGGTGACAGCAGATTTCCAAGTCGTCGAGGCCTGGTTTAATCAGGTTGTCGAGTTTCGCAACCTCGCGACTGTCGGCACAGCCGCCTTTCGGCTGCCCGGCCAGCGCTTGCACGCTCTTTCGACCGACCGCTCCGCCCTATCTAGGTATCTCGCTTCCAGAGGGTACCAGTCGTCCAATTCCATCTTGGCTGTCGAGGACGTCTTCATCGCTCGCTCGGTAAGCCCACACTAGGATCCGCCAGCTACCGCTGCAGTTCAGGCTAACTTACTTCGTCTCTCAGGAGATCGATTGTCCTATCCATGGCGCCATCGCTCGGCAACGAGCAAGCCTTCACACGCAGAGAGCCATCCGCCCAACTGACGTCCGAACCAAAGCCATCACGCACCGACACCCCGAGGATACCGGGAGGCACACCACCAAGACTGCCGGTCCCACGAAAGCCGTCGTCCGATTTTCCGATATCACATACGAGGATGGAGCTATTCCCAAAGTTGATGCTGATCCCTCTGCCAACAAGTTGCTTTCGTCCCATACGATCAATACACCGGTGAACAGATTGCGATCTGGAACCATTTCTCCCGCCGCATCCTTCATTCTCATTTGCGTCTTTGCAATCTTGGGGATCTCCGCCCGTCTCCTTTTGTCATGATTTCGGTTAAGGCCTCAACACTACCACATCACCTCTTCTTTCATCATCTCCGCCAGTCGATCTTGGTCATACCCAAGACATTTCTCCGATCCGATGACCTTTTAACTGCAGAGGGAGACACATGGATGATTAACACGTTGGTCCCCCTCACATTTCACGCCAAAGTCATATAGAAAGCCTGGAGAGGCAGGTGGTGTTTCGGGAGTTCGTCATGATACATCCGCAGTCCAAAAGCAGTCAGCGGTCTTGTGGCCTTGAGCTGATTCTCACATCAACGGCGAGTCCCGCCCGCCTGAATGTTTGCTAGGCGGACCAGAGATGTGCTTTCTTATGGCAAAGCCTGTCGGCTGGAAATTCATCTGATGATGATGGTGGTTGAGGTCAGTAGAAGGGTTGAGCAGGTGCGACAAGAAATGACTTACATGATAGTGAGATCAACGTGTTGACGCGCGAGATCATTGGCGAGGAAGTTACTAGCACACGATAAGTGGATGGTCTTGATCAAATTGAATGGAATGGACAAAATTCTGGACGCATCTTCGTTGTTGAGCTGTAGAAACTACGCCAGAAGACGCTTCACCCACGGAACACGCCCCTCCGTTTCATGTCACCCAGTGTTCTCTCTCCACGTTCTCAGCCTGTCAAATGCCGTCCGCTCTCAAACATAGGATCGCGCGAGCATCTGGACTTCCTTTACGAACTTTCCCCAGCTTTGTATCTGTCGGCCTCCCGCTTCTGCTGATCTGCATGTTTCCGATTGTATCTGGTTGGGAAGATACGTAAGCTGAGACGGACCGTGCCGATTGACCCAGTCTAAGTGGCATCCTGGAAGAATCGGGCCTTGTAATTCGGCTTTTCACACTACTGTGCCATGACCGTAACACAGCCTTCAACTCTTTCAGGGGTCTCCAGATTTTGCACGACAGCCAGCTCGACTTAGCGATGTATGAGCTTTCTCCAGGATTCTCACGGCTGTAGAGGCTGTCGGATAGGAGGCTTGTCTAGAATGCCAGCTAGGCGTGCAAAGTCCAATTTAGACTGTCAAAGCTCAAGATGTCACTGATTGTTGCCAACTGTTCCATGCCTGGCCTTGATCCACATTCCAATCATAGGATGTTAGGGACAAGCGTAAAAGCCTTTACACGACAACTTCAGGAGGTTGCTTTCAGAATTTCGAGCAGCATTACCTTTTTTCCTCAGAAGTGAGTCACGAGGCAATTTGACCCCAGTAAGTCCATCCATCTCTGGAGCTGAAGCTCAATGGTGTTCACGTCTTGCTGTGACGTGGAGGAAGGGCACGGGAGCTACATAGGAAATACCCTCCTAGTGGTTCTTAAGGAAAGAATTGTGGGCATTGGAAGTTTAAAGTAAGAAGCTCGGGGTAGAGGCGAACAGCGACTGGAACGAGCGCAGCGAGAGACGATGCAAGAGGCGGGCGAAGGTGTTCAGATGGAAGGTTGTCCGCAAGGGAGAGCGTCTGCCTTGACGCGGTACAGGAGGCTCCGATATTTGTGACAAAAGGTGACGTGTATGAAACCAGCCACAGCAGCTAGCGATTGATGATTGCCGGAGCCAAATGCACCAGAGTTTTCACATGCTTCTCCGGAGGATAGAAATGCAGAGTCATTACCCGTGCAAGTCAACTGGACTCAACTGCATTCCATCCGTCCGCCGATTTTCGTACTCGCTGGAGCCTTCTTCACGACAGCAAGGTATCATTAGGTATGTCTTGGCCATCCTTAAACGGACATGGTAGTGTGCAACTACAGCGTTGCGAGTATTGCGCATCATAGAAGCGAGGGAGCATCTCACTCCTTTCACGAGTTCAAAGACATTCGCTAGTAAGAATAGTTTTGGCATGGTCAACCATGAATGGAACTGATTATGACACTCTTGCCACATCGTCCGAACCTTTCCCTTCAACTGCTTTTGGCGTCTTGGTCGGTCCGGTATTTCGATTTCAGCAGGCGCAAAACATTTTTTGCAAGATTGCAGGCTAGCAAACTGTTCGGTATCGTGGTATACATGCAACATTTGACTAGATTTGCGGGTTCTGGTGCGTTGTGAATGGATGCCTTCGGGTAGGGGGCTTTCGTGGCTGATTTGGAGTATTCGTTCGGCGACGTCGAGATGTCGGCTTTGCGTTTCGGAAAGACTGCACCTGCGGAGTGCTGTCTTGTCAGAGGGCATTCAGGACGCATGATAGCATGAACCCACGTGGTCAAGCCGCTTTTTTCTGGCCTTCGACATGTTTTCTGCGTGAAGATAATAAGGCTGGGTCAAGTTGCTGGTGTCTGTTGGGTTTCGTTGCAGCGCTTGGACGGCGTTATTGTGGTTGCGGGTTCGTCAAAAAGGAGCAGAGACAACTATACAAACGTGCTTTGTACTACTTATGTCGCAAGCCTGGTTCTACAATGTTTTGAGGCGATTGATGGCATGCGTTGAAGGCATGTATTTTGCCGTGTGAGGAAGACTGAATCCACAGGCGTCGGAATCTTCCACAAGAGGCCTCCGGTGTTGACAATGTTCGAAAGATGCACCAGAGTGTGAGATCCATGAAACACATATGCTCACAGGAAACATCAAAGTCACATGGTTTGGATGTTGGGAACGAGGATATCTTTGAAATCTTGCCAGTAGCCGCAGACCCCTCAAAATACTTCTCATATCTGGGCAAATTTCGACTTCACCTCACGACAAATTTCATGTTCACACTTTGGAAATTTGGAACGTCGTGTGGTGTCATTACTGGTAGATCTCCCGCCTACGCACCACCGGAAGTAGCGTTATTACATGTGGGAGTTCAAAGACCATCAAATACATGCTGGAAAGATGCCCCATGCCTCGTTGGTTGTTGGCGCATAAAACAAAGACCCAGACATGCCCTGTGCCCTGCTTCCCTCGCCCGATTCGTTGTGGAACATTGTTGCGGCGCCTTTCCTACCGTAGACGATAAGAACCAACCTTGTCGCCGCCCTTCGAACAACCAATACTAAGTTTTTGTATGTTGATAACCCCAATATTTGTTGCTTGAGTTGATATTCCTTTGCTGTGCTGCTTTCTTGGTTTTGAGACGCCTCTTCCAGTTGGCCTTGCCAGATCAGGCTATGTTGAGATACCCTAATTTTCGGAATGACTCTCTGTCATCATGGCCATTTGCAGCTCGTTCTCCTTTGCTGCTGATTGCCTATTGAACGACATCGATTATACCATTGATGCTGGGTCCGGTTTGAAGTTCAGGTTTTCTTATCTCGCCAGTTACTTCTTGGCTATTCTCCCAAGTGTGTATCGAAAGAGAGCCAATATCTTTACAAAAGATGGTCGACCACACCCAGATGCCCGTCTCATATGTCATGGCAAACATAGACCGGTTTGTCCTACTAAGGGTTTCAATAGAGAAGTCTTGAATTATATGAAGCAGGTACCCACGCTTTCATTATGTGATTTGCATCCGATTGCAAGCAGTCTCGGCTAAAATGGGTTTTCATGCGCTATCTCGCGGCTCGTGACTACATCTTCATAAAGCTAAAGGAGCATGTAGTCTTTCCATTTCGTGGTGCTAAAACGCCGTCTGATCACCGTGACAGACTCTTTCCTGCCGAGCTACCCGGCCGTTCCCCCATTTCTCTAGTTGTTCTGCCCGTCCATACCACAACCCTTAGCCAACACCAGTAGCTGGGACGGTACTTATACGTAATTAAGCCCTTCTTCTCGAGCTGTTTCCAGTACATCTTCGATTTTCTCAGCCATGCTTCTGCTCGTAAGATACGAAAGGCTCACTCTTCATGCGAAGTCTCCAAGTAGGGCGTTTTCAATACCGCAAGAACAGTCACCTCGGTCGAATGCAGGAGCTGAGAAAGTCTCTTTGGAATCTACTGCTGAATCTCTATCCACCTCTTTCTCCTGGGCCTACTCGAAGGACACCACATCCCCTAAGAGCGCAGCGGATGGAGAGTAATGTTGCTGGCGAGGATTCAGACGCGGCGTTGCCATCTTCTGACTGTGAATGTCACTTGAGCCTGAGAAAGTTGCCCGAGAACAGCGACTTTGATACGGGTTGTGATACCAACGTAGGATATGTGCTCATAGGATGGGAAGGAATGAACGCTAACAATGACATAAGTGCCAATGCTCTCACGATGAAAGTCGGTCCTCATCATTCCAGTGAATTTAATGGCGTTCCCAGCATCGATCATTGTCTCTTCCATCAGTCTCCTCATCTTAGCTCGAAAACAGCGTTCCGCTAAGCCGCTCTGGCGGCTTGCATAGAGCGTCGCGCATGCGATATCAATAAAGGCTGAGGAATGCGTTCGTAAAATATCTCATGAATACTGTGCTGAGACGTATCCCGCACGCGCTGACACATCTTGCAAGTAAGATTGTCCAATCCGCTTGACGACAGGCCTCTTAGAACTGTCTAAAAGAAGTCTGTGCATACCCAAAGGACTGTAGTGTAGTGTTCTGACCGTTGTTGGTATCCTGGGTGTGACGTCTAGATGCTTCGCACAGCCTAGAAATGATTTGTGATGTGGATCGACGTGGCTGAATTCCGCCATAACAGCATTGGTGTATTAGTTTCCGAGGAGAATTCTACATGGTAGTACGAATACTACACAGCGACTCTCACAATGTCCCAGCACTGACCGGACGAAATCCAGACAGACACCACTAGATTCCAAGAGAAATATGCTATCGACAAAGATATAAATGTCGATGGCGAGGCTGCCAGTTGCACGAACCATTCATCTCCATAATAAAGACGGCCATACCCAATCCGAATCTGCAGCTGTGATTACAACTGTGGACATGCCTTTTGGTTCGCCGGTATAGCGTCTGTACCGCGCCCTGCGCGAGACATGCGGAGGACGTGGCTGAAAGGAGCAGGATGGCTCACGTTTGACTTTGACTTTCATGGGACGAGCATTCCGATCCGCGATGGCCGCAATGGCCTCGAAGTGCCTCTTCTGCAACTCATAACTCTCCACGTACGTTATGTCAACGTGCGGCGTATTGCCTACTACCATTGAACTTCTATGATCTCTCTGTGAATGAGGATATCAGGGCCGTGACGAAGATCAAGAACTCGAAGGGGTCTACCGATGCGAAAGTGGCAACTCCACAGGTCACACCCGTTGCCCATACCCCGACAACACCGTGGTGCCCGAAGTAGCCTCAGATCTACTGACGAAGCTTCCTATAGCTAGAGATTTGCCCTCAATTGCGTCGCAGGGATGTGCTCTGTTGACACGAAACGCTCGACAAGATTAACCACCTCGTTTGCAAGCCCGAAGCTAAAGATATAACCACCTCCTTGAGGGCCGTATGCATGCACCACGTGCTGGCCTCTGACGACTGTTTTCTCTACCCTGGTGCCAGTCCTTCTCTGGGGACGTATACCGACAATGTCTCGCAGGATATCGGCTCCGGCACGGTCCGGAGGAGGGAAGTCCATGGGCAGATTCTCATGTACTCTTTGTAGAATCTGCAGCATGTTAGCGAGCCTTGCCGACCACATATCACATGCTTTTCTCCACCCACGTTTGAACGCAGATCGTCGTCGACTTCGGTGTCGACGCTGTCGAAGGTCTTCAAGCCTCCCAAGATGGCAGTGCCGTCAGGCCTTCCCAGCGCATATGTATAATCTTTGCCCCGACGGATCCAGATCTTATTGAAGTCCGACTTGACGAGTATTGTCTGGCCTCGAACCTCTTGCATGTCGAGATCTGCCACATCTGTGAGATAGCGGGCTCCCACACCAGTGCAATTGATTAACAGATCGTGTCCCATTCCACGGAGATCAGAAAGCGAGTTGACGCTCAAGCGCTGAAATTCGACACCCGTTGCCTCCAGGCGGTTCCTGACCCATGCAAGGTAAGTTGAAGGTGTGATAATGATGGATTTGTATGCCATGCCAAATGAGGCACCGCTGGGCAGCTCATCTTTCGACAAGACTTTGTAGTTAGGCAGCTTGTTCGCGTACCAGACTTGGTCTTCAGATGAACCATCAACAAGGTCATACATGTCAACTCTTCGGACACTGGACTCTGGATGCTCGAGAGCCAAATTCCACCACGCCCAAAAGGCATCCAGCTGCATCTTTTGCTCACTTGGTGTGGAGGGAATCATGCCCATGAACACAGCGCCTGCCCAAGGGCTGGCCCACTCCTGCGACTCCGGGTCGTTGGGAAGGTTGCGAGCAACAATCGTCACGTCGTAACCCCTGGGTAGCTGACTCGCGATTGTGAGGCCGGTGATTCTGTGGTTTTACTTATCAACCCGTGATCAAAGTGCTGTCGCGCAAAGGGGTGAAATCCTACCCGGCACCTAGAATGGTGATCTTTGGCATCTTTGTTTTAGGGTTGAAGACTGACTTGAGCTTAAAGACTGAGTTATTTGTCTCTCACGGTGCTGATTACCCCATATTCTCATGTTCAGTCTGCAATCTTGTGCCAATATATAGTCTGCAAGTCAATTTCCCACCCATTTCATGAAAATTGGGCGGACCCCGGACAGACGTCGGCCTGGCCAGCCGATATCTATCGATAAACCTCGTTTGCGATGTATTCAATTGAGCTTAGCCTTTGTACCGGGGAACTGAGATTAGGGGCGAGAGCAAGGCTTGGATTGTGGGGTGCTGCTCGTCTAATTCATCCTTGAAATGGTTAGGCTGTCACGAATCCAGGGACTCTGCGATTGGTGCTTTTGAAAGAATAGTCCAATCAAACTACGCCAAGGGAATTACACATTTGCCGACGACGATTTATCTAGGGCGACAAGGGTACATGTATCAACGCTTATCATGCAACGTCAATCAAGATTTACCATGGCTGATGCGGGGAGAGGTGCTAGGGTAAGAATTTTGGGCATCGAGGTGATTGCGAAGCTGAATTAAACTAGCGATGCCTCAAACTTCGCTCATCATTGGGCCGCACACGAAATGAATTGATTCCCCGATAATGCCTATGAAGAATAGGAGCCAGACATAAGACACAAGTCCTAGTTTATCTGCTTGTCTATCTCTCGGTCTATCTCTTCGTGCAGGGAGGTGTCGGCCTGCCGCTCAGTGACCTTACCTCATGGCTTGCTGTGATTCGAGTTTGGATTCGATATAAGTTTGCCATTTTGTTTCTTGGACAGACAATCATCCTACCTGCAGCGCGATCCTCTTTTCTCCTGTTTTGAACGATAGAATCGGTATTGCAACAGCCTCAACAAGCATGAATACAAAAACAGCCATCGCATCCGAAGATGAGTCGCTCCACGGCCGCTTTTCTGCCGAGGGCGTGGTCTCGTCCGAGTATGAACGCTTTTGTCGTCTGCGAGAGTCATTCACCGAGGAAAAGCAGGCCTCGCTTATTCGAAAAGTCGAGTGAGTGTTCGTTAAAATGACAAGGTCACTGTTCATTGACTGGTTCCAGTTTCCGCATCCTGCCTCCTCTGGTGCTGGTGTATCTTCTGGCTTACATAGACCGCTCCAATGCAGGTATGATCGAGCATACCTTTCAGTGCAACCTCACGCCTCCTGTGTGATTGACTGAGCACATTTCTTTGCAGGCAACGCCAAATTATCTGGTGCTTTGGAAGACCTCGGCCTAAATGGACAGCAATGGAACGTGTCTCTGGCCGTCTTCTTTATCACATACGCGGCCGGTGGCGTGTAAGTATTGAGCTGGGCAGCGGTCTTCACACTGGCAGTTGCTAACCTAGAGGCAGCCCGTCAAACATTATGCTCAAGCGTGTCGGCCCACGATTCTGGCTCCCATCACTGCTCATCGGATGCGGATCGACGATTGTCTGTTCTGGCGTTCAAAGCACGTATGCTGGATGGATAGCTTTCAGATTGATCCTCGGCATTATTGAAGCCGGTATCTACCCCGGTTGCTCCTTCATTCTCACTTCATGGTATAGCCCCAAAGAGCTGCATTCGAGAATGACCATCTTTTACTCGGCTGCTTCCATTGCAGGCGCTTTCTCTGGACTTCTTGCTTTTGCGATTGGCCGCCTAGACAGTACTTGGGGCTACCGGGGCTGGCGCTGGATCTACGTCTTGGAGGGAGCCTTCAGCGTCATTGTGGGTGTTATGTGCTTCTGGCTGATTGAGCCTGTGCCGGGAAAGGTAACAAGCTGGTTGACAGACGAGGAGCGCGAGTATCTGGTGCTCCGGAACCGATTCACCGCGGGTGGAGAGAGCGGAATTAAGGAGCGAGAGGATTTCAACATGGCCGACGTTAAGAAGGCGTTCCGCTCCATTCACACCTACTCTGTGGCGTTGACGGAGTTCACCGTGGCCGTTGTCGTGTACGGAATCAGCTTTGTCCTGCCCAGCATCGTTCAGAGCCTGGGATATTCAAACGTCAAGGCTCAGGCAATGACTGCTCCGCCGTACATCTTTGCCTGCGTTGTCACCGTCATTTCTGGCCTGGCAGCCGATCGCTACCGCCAGCGGGCACTGTCAATCATGCTTCCAAATGCAATGGCTGTCATTGGATTCATCATCATTACCATCACAATTCGATACCATCAGATTCCCGGAGTAACATACTTTGGCATTTTCCTCATGGCTGGTGGTTTGTATCCCATCTCACCTGCCGTGATGGCCTGGGTAGCTCTGAACATGGCTGGTTCCATGAAGCGTGCAGCCGGACTTGGACTAATGATGTCCCTAGCCCAGCTCGGGGGTGTAAGTTCTGACCCAGGCCTCTGACCACGCAAAACGCTTTGCTGACTCGAAGACCCTTAGATTGTGGGATCTAACATTTTTCTGCCTGATGAAGCACCCGTATACCCTACTGGATTTGGAATCTGCATTGCCATGTTGACAGCATTCGGCGTCATCTGGCCCGGCATCTACTACCTGATCCTGAAGAGGATCAACTCCAGAAGGGCAGCCCTTTCGACCGAGGAGGTAATGGCCAAGTATACGACGGAGCAATTGACCGATATGGGCGACGAGAGTCCTCTATTCCGATATGCTCTTTAGCTATGTAGCTGAGAAGTTTCCGGCGGGTTGTACGCGCACTCAAATGTCGTTTTTGCCGAGGAATTACTATTTGGATAATCACTTGGCTATACCGCTATTTCATATTTGTCTGTATAGTTCTACCTTTTGATTATCGGTGTTCCATCAAGACATTCCCTCAGGTGTGAAGGAGTAGGCCCGAGGTACCAGTACGCCATGCTTGAAAGGATATGAAGCTTGCTTTTGAAGGATGGAACGTATCAGAATAGTGGACTATCCAGCCAGAAGGCCCCCGACCCCTTGATCCAGAACCAGTTGGTGAGGCTGAATATTACCTTGGACGCAAATATTATGACCCCATGCCTTGGCTTAATGATGTATCGTCTTGTCGAGGTATGCTAGTAGAAGGCAGCGGTGTATTTGATACACTGTTGAGCCTTGCGCCAGGGGACCAGGTCGTGTGCGCAAAAATCTGCACACTTCATCCTGGTTCTTTTGGGCAGCTTGGAGTTTTCTGAGTTGCTTACCCCGCCATCTTGCCAAGCCTGGCATCCCCGGACCGCTTATCAGCTTCCGGTCAGTCCCCGCCGATAAGCACATCCGTCCCCGGTTATTCTGCATGATAAGCACCCTTCATCCGGTTTGCTGATGCGGTTCTCCTCTTCAAGCCCACTTGATCCAGCTTACGCATTTCTCCCTTGCTTCTTTCATCATGAGAGAACACGATGCAAACACATATCCCAAAATCTGGCTCCCGCAGACCAACGACACGCACAACTACTGGCTGCCAAACTTGTCGACGGCGACGTATAAAGTGTGACGGTAGGTCTTCAACACGCCAAACGAGGATCAACGACGAGATTGATAATGGAAATCATTAGAGGTAAAGCCGTCTTGTCAAAGATGCCAGTATGCAGCCATCGACTGCTCCTACAAGCCTCAGCTGAAATGGCCACGACAAGGTGCGAGGATGGGCAACAACCGCTCCCGGCGGCACCGAGTACAGAGCGATGCGTCAACTCAAAAGACTGATTCCCTTTTGAGCGAGGAAACGAGGTTGGAGACTTTCTCGGTAGACCGGCTCGAGGAGCCCATCCATGCAATGTTTGTGTCCGCAGCTTCGTGCACAAGCGGACCCGATGTCGACGACAACCACGACTTGGCAAGCCGAATTGATCTCGGAATGAATCAATTCTCAACAGACAATAGGGCATTACTCGCGTCGATGCCATCTAAAACATGCTCTCTTTCCATCTCATCGCTTGGCGACCCATATCAGCTTCCGAACATGAAACGCGAGGACAGCATGCTTTTTCACTATTGTAAGACCTATATAGGACGTATATGTCGTCTAACACTGATTGGTAATGGCGTCTAGATGTTGCCGAGATGTGCCCTCAATGCATTGTCAGGAACGGCTACAACAAAAGTTATCGCCAAGTTATTCTCCCACTAGTCAATAAATCCAACATCCTACTGAGAGCCATTTTGGCCTTCACGGCTAACCGCGTCAAATTGCAAGATGACCGCTTTCGGACTGTTGCCCTTCGTCACCAGGCAGCAGTGCTACAAGGCTTGCAACAGTCACTCAACAACAAAAAGCGGACATCCTTCTCGAGACTGGAAATACTCAGCACGATCCTCATGCTATGCTTCTTTGAGATATTCAGCCCGGGACAAATACCTAAAGACTCGCATGGCCTGCCTACAAGACCTTGGATGACGCATGCAGGGGGGGTTCGCAGATTGTTGGACTTGGGCCCGCTAGAATCCCATGACTCTTACTACGAGAAAGCTGTCGTGTCTTTTCTCAGCCAGTATTTTGCTTCCCGCAGCGTACTCGCCTTTACTTCCTTGTCGCCACTAGAGGATCAGATTGAGATTTTTGACCATGCTCAGTACTGGCTGGGCATGGCTGATCGGCCACCCGAGGAGATCAATCCGTTCGCTGGATGCTCCAATGAACTGCTCAAATCGATTTTGGGCATTACATCGCGAATGAGAAAAGTTGCACAATCGCGGTCGCAATCATTACCAGCTGGAGGTCTACAACAGACTTGGGCCAGCATGATGGCAAAACACCTTTTTGCCATGGACCAACTTCCACCCGCTGAGCGCAGAGACGGTGATGCAAGCGCGAAATTGCCAAGCCAGCACGCGTGTTCGGCGCCGACAACTCTTCTAGAAAAGACATCCGAAGCCTTTCGTTTAGCCACTGTGGTACTGCTGGGGAATTTATATCCTCAATTAGATATTACAGCTTATGAGCAAACTGAAATGTGCCTGGATCGGCTGGGTGGGATTTTAGGCTCTGGCGTTGCAGTTCCCCAACACGGGGCACTTGGCGCTTCCAGCTACATTTGGCCGTATTTCGTCGCGGGATGCCATTTGCATAGCCCGGATCAGAAGGTTTCACTGACACAGCGGATCAGGCAGCTGTTTTCACGAAACCTGTCCGGCGACACGGCGTCGAGTCAGATTCTTTGCGTGCTTGAGGAGGTGTGGTCCCTCCCGGTTGGCCACCGGGCGGCAGCATGCAGCGACGGGTACAGCTTTCTGTGGGAGAGCACCAAGTTGAACAGACACCAAGTGCTTGAATGGGTGTGATGGGATGGCAACATATAGTCTTGTTTGCACTTTTATACGTGATGGTTTTGATATTGAGCACCTCGTCGAAGCCTACTTGCTGGCCTCACGGCCAAATACTCTGTTTTCGGCGCCTCTAAACCTTGACCCAAGTGTATCTCACGACTACCCTCGGCCTAAAGAGAGATATGAGACGGCAAATAACTTGTAGGGATTCCAGATCGCTCATCAGACCCATGATATGCCCAATCATACAAGCTTCAAGACGCCCAGCGGGGAGAGAGAGGATGGACCCACAAGACTTGTGTTACTCATGCAGCTCGTTTGAAACAGACCAAAAGCAGTAAAGCGCAAAGAGCCCTTATCTTGCTATGCTGCGTCGCTCTGCATATACTGCATGTGACTAGCATGCTGACTCCATCACCTTAGACCTCGTTCATTTTACACCCATTTGGGTTTAGAGTGAAGGCATCAGATGTGTCACATCTTGGTCCCCTGCACTCCGATAATCAATGATTTTGTCTGCATTTATCAACTGGAACACGATTCTCGAGGTGCAACTTGCAATTGACAGATTTGTTCCAAATTCAACTCCAAAACCTTTAATACAATGACATCGTCTGTCCCTAAAAAGAAGGTCATCATCATTGGTGCCGGCGTATTCGGCCTGTCCACCGCTCTGCATCTCCAGCGGCATCACCGAGATGATATAGACGTGCTGCTGCTTGACTCTGCATCATTTCCCTCAATCGACTCTGCTTCCGGCAACGACACATCTCGCGCCATACGCATGGACTATGCTGATTCGTTCTACGCCAAGCTTGCCAAAGAAGCCATCGAGGCCTGGCAGACCGACCCCGTGTTCTCGCAGCATTTCCATCTCTCTGGCCGTATCGGAGCTCAGCCCCCTGGGTATACGAATGTCGAAAAGTGCAAGCATGTCCTACGGGCCAATGAGGTAGACTTGGAGGACTTTGGAGAGGCGGACAAGGTCTCAGCTCTTCACAGCAAGTTTCCGCTCCTAGGAAATAAAGACAAGCTTCGGGGGTGGGACTTCTACTACGTCAACGTGAGACTGACTTCTTTCTCCTCCTTCCTCTCGGCTCACTGCATCTACTAAATTTGGCGCAGCACGCTGGGTGGGCGAACCCTAAGGAAGCTGTTATCTCAGCCATGAAAGATTTTGAATCTCTTGGGGGGAAACAAATCAGCGATCCACAGTGTGGGCGTGTTGTCGCCAATATCCTCTCTGATAATCAGATCCGCGGAGTCAAGACCGCCGATGGGCAGTCACACTTTGCGGAACATGTCATCTACGCCACAGGAGCATTCTCAACTTCTAACAAGGAACTTCTCCCCGGTCTAGGCACCCAGATACACCCCACTGGTTTTGCCATTGCCCACTGGAAACTAGAAGACCCAGAAGAGCTGAGAGCTTGGAAAGGTTATCCTGCCGTAGACATCTACCACAATGGCTACTTCTTTCCTCCAGACCCCGCCACCGGTCTCATGAAGCTTGGGTTGGGAATCGTGGGGTTCACACATGACGAGCATTCTCGATCAAGCTGGGAGGATCAATCCGACGTCGGCATTGCTCTTTGGAACAGCGATCTTGTCGGAACCAATGAGGCCGGAAAGATTCCGTCCATCGCAGAAGAGGGCATCCGTTGGATCCTAAACAGATGGGCGCCAAGCTTAGCCACAAAGAAATTCTTTGACATGAAAATATGCTGGGACGCCATGACACCCGATGGAGGCTGGTTGATTGACCATCACCCAGATATCCATGGTCTCAGTGTCGCGACCGGAGGATCGGGCCACGGTTTCAAGTTCCTTCCTGTCGTTGGGAGCTTCGTCAGCCAAACTCTTGGCCTCGCTGAGAGTAATCGGACTGCTGGGCCCAAGCTTGAAGAGATGAGAAGCAAGTGGCGTTGGAGCCGGCCTTCAAACATGGATGTCAAGGATCGGAAGGTTGTGCTGCAAGGGCGACCTATATTGAATGTTATGCATCATTTGAGAGCTCAGACGCCCGGGCAGATCAACGACATGGTTCGTTGCAGATTATAAAAAGGAGCAGCGGCAGCGCAAGGATTAGAACCAAAGCAGATCGCATACAACAACAACACCACCAACAGGAACGCAAATAGCGGCGGCATAGCCGCTACAAAATGCCACACAGCTTGAGTCAAATACCAACCACGTTCAAGAACTTGGTGACATAAATGCCAGAGTCTACCTCAAACCATCAAGCGAATGTAGAAGCAGGTGGTAGACGATCTGGCAAAGTGAATCAATCGTGCATCCTCAGAATGGGCAGCATAGTCCGTGAGCACCGGTCTGGTTGGGACGTTACACAGGCAATGTCCAACGAGCCTGTCTCCAGCTGAATATAATAGCAGATGCGCGCCTTTCGATTCAGGCTGAGTCAGTGACCA